AAAAAAAAAAAACAGTACAGAGTATATTATCTTTCTTCTTGGAGCTTCATAACTGCAGTCAACTTTGCCTAGTTTAACACTTATAACTGCATATTTTTTACCATCTTTGGAATAAAATTCTTTTCTTGACACCACATTATTTTTTACCATACAATACAAGATTACTAGCACAAATGAGGAAAATTAGAGGACTACATTATCATAGTTGAGGGATATTTTATTATCCCCGTAAACACAAAACTTGAAGAAAAAAGTTACATACAATCAATTCAGTCTTTCAAAGACATACCAAGTCAAGGCTGGCATCCTCAGCTTTCTGAAGAGCTTCCATTTTTGACACTATCCCCAGCTATATAACAAAAACCAATTAAACAAAATCAATGATTAATAACAACTAAGAAACCAACACAAGAAGCAAATATGAAATTAGACTAACCATGTTCTGCTTTTCATCAATGAGCCTAACCTTGTCTGACCTATTTCAAAGCACCACAAAAAAACTAAAAAAGTTAACATCTCTAACACAAGCCCAATACATTTCAACATTTAAAAAGAACATTTAATATCACAATAACTGAGAAAACCAAAAAAAGGACATGAATTTCCTATAAACATTACAACAAGCTGAGCGCACAACAGAAGAGACTAAAATAAAGTTAACATCTTTAACAAGAACCTAATACATTTTAAAATTAAACAAAAACATTTAATATCAAAATAACCAAAAACTCTATTAAAAAGCAAAATGGATAAGAATTTCACATAATGTTACTCAAGCTGAGGGCATAACAAAAGAACATGTGGAATACCTGATAGAGGAAATATCAAGGGCTTCATCATCATCAGAACGTGGGGGCGGCCGGAAGTTACCACGGCCGCCTCCACCGCCGTAGCGGGCGGAGACAGTGGCAGCATAATAGATAAGGGAGGAGCAAGAACGGAGCTGAGGAAGGTGAAAACGGAGGCCAAAAAGAGAAGAATTAAGGGAAGGAAGAAAAAGGGGTTTAGTATTTGGTTTAGAGGAAATGGTGGGTGTGAGAGTGAAGGTGGTAAGACCCGCCATGGATGATGGGGGTGGGTGGGTGGTTTTACAGAGAGAGTTAACACACAGTGGGGTGGATCTTATCCATAGGTGCTCTTGCTCTTGAGGCTTTGCTACAAGTTTTTTTCTTTGGTGATATTTATATGGTTGATATATATA